TGTTGTATCAGCATAAAGTGAAATCAGAATTTCTCAAAGAGCAGAGCACCTATAGGTTTGGTTAGTGTATGCAAATAGAGAACTTCTATAGCCAGTTTCCAGTTGGCTTCCCTTCATTAACACAGATGTAAAAAAAAGTAAAACTAAACAAAGAAAAACCCCAAACCAACACCAGCTGCGGGGGTGGTGAGTTACACATCACTTTGGACAGATAGAGCCCTACCTAAACTGAGACAACTTCCAGCACAAAATAAAAAGATGCAAATTCATTATTTGTATGAAACATGTATTGCAAAATTAAATTGGGATTCAACAATCTGCAACAACATCCACAGCTATATAGTGTTTTTAAAAAAACAAGTGTGGTTCTTCCATTCAAGTAAAACTAAAACAAGTGAAAGAAGTTAAAAAAAATCCTAGAAGCAGCAAGTTACAATTCTTTCTGTAATACCACACCATTTTCATTAACTTGAAGTATTTTCAAGATGTCAAAGACATCAACAAAAATAGTAATTTCAAGTGGCTTTTCTGATACTTGTTTTTTTGAATGGGTCCAGCCCAGGTCTGCAACCTGTACAGACATGCAAAACAGGAGGAACTGATAATTACTATTAAGAACAGACATTTGAACATGCCAGTTATATAATGACAAAGCAGAGACAATACCTTCAAATTGTCAACAAACATGAGCTACTGACCACTGAAGGGCATTTAATACTTTACAAAAAAAGGAAAGTTGGCGTAAAAACCCACAAACAACTCGCCAAACCACCAACAGCAGGGTTATCACATACAAAGTTCTTACAAACTTGGTAATTTCTATATTGTCCTCAATATGCAGGCTCGTCTTTCCCACATGATGCCAAACCACTTAAAATTTTGCTTTTATTTAAAAGCCTTCTTTTTTTAAAAAACAAAAGTTAAAAATTATACTGGAAGTCTGTTTCACCTATGAAAAAACTACTAATGCACCCTTTCAGACAAAGAGGTATGCATATATAAAATCAGTACAGGTACTTTTTCTGCTACTTTTAGGAAAGCAATGAATGTAATTCTAAGTAAAACTAATATGCAGAAGCCCGTTCTGTCATTATATCAAACACAGTTTCACAGCTGAAAAAGTTACTGTTTTTTAATTTTATTTCACTAAAACACCATTTCCTAATGCTTTGTGATAAAACACATGGCCCAGTCCTGGGCTCCTTGCTCTGGCAATCTTACAAGGAAGTTCTGCAGGAGCAAGGTGCCCAGATTCAATTCAAGCCTAAAATAAACTACTTTAGTATTTTGTGCAGCTGATTCCCAGAACAAAGGGAGCATTTTCGAATCTCCATGAAGTGGGAATAGTTAAAAATAAGCCAAATTCCAAGCTATTTCTGTAAAAATCTAGGGCTCAGTTACAAGTGCTTTCATGGTCTGTAAGCAGATCTTCCTTCTGATACTGGGAGCAGATGACATCCTCTCATTTCCACCAGGGGGGAAGCAAACAGTGCCTCCACTATCCTCAGTGAAGTTACATCAGCACGGAACTGCCGTGACAGGATACAGTAATGAGGGTTCAACACTTTGAAGCTGAGAAAAGGATTGTTGTTTTCTGTGAAACACTGGCAGAATGTATAACCAGGATGGGCATTTGAAAAACAAAGAACTGGTTAAAGCCCAGGAGCTTCTACTTTTTAAAGAAATTGTTGAAAGGCTACAGTTACACTGAACTGTATCATATCTGTACCACTCTGAAGTTTCCTTTCTTTTACTATTTGATTTTCATAATAACTTCTACAGCTTATGCACAACATTTAATTGTAGTAACTTCTGGGAACAGAGCCTGACTCCTCATACCTCTGTCTGGGCAAAAAAGGGTGCAGAATACTGTGCTTGAACTGAAAGACATTTCTACTTGTATTTACAGAAGGGCTAGGAAGGGGCAATGTACAAACAAATTTGGCCTCATAATATCCAATAAATTTGAGTTGATCTTTTCACCCAGACTGGAAAAGGCTGACCATTTCTTGCATAAACGAGGTAAAGCATTGTTTCAACACCAGATAAATACAGATAATATAGCACCTAATGTGATGTCTGTGCAACAGTTTTACTCAGTTAAATTAAGAATTATAGCCAACAGGGTTTCAGATTTTGTGAACTAAACTTAAACTAACTCATTTTTAAGAGCTAAACCATTATTGTGTGTTGACTGCAAAGTAATAGATACAAGGGTAACTTTGCTCTAGAAAGTACAACCAAGCTTAGCAGGAGTTAAAATATTCATATGAACAAAAAGGAATATGTAACAGTCAATAAAAAGAGCAATGGGAAGTCTATTGGACTACTCCAAAATATTTCATAGAACTAAGGGAATAAAAATTCACATTTCCCATACTATTCTTGGAGCTTCTGTAGTTTTCACAAAACCAGGTTTCCCCCCACAACATCAAGTATCCATGTGTGCAGTAATCAGCTGCAGGATCCTGACTTTGAAAGTGTCTTGAAACACCAAAGCTGTGGCTTTACCATCCCCAAAGTCTTTCATAACGTAATTGATTGCACATTTTCAATATATTACAATTTACTAAATGAAGCCAACCCCTCATTACCTCATCAGTACAGCCTGCATGAAGTACAGTTTATTTATATGCTTATATTCTAATCTAACACCAACTGTCAGCATATTTTATATTACACGTGGTATTGCACTTTCTGAGTGGCACCCCGGTGCGTGTTTGCAAGTGAACAAGCTGAACCCCCAAAAGCCCCAAACCTTTGGAATTCAAGTGCTGCCAATCTAGCAAGTTTAAATTACGGTGAACATCACCTGCAGAACTATTATGGGCTTCACTAACTTTTAAAAAACATGTTTAGGAATTAGAAAAACAGTCCTACCTGGAGTTGTGCATAAGGGCAATCTGAAATCCTCGGTACTCTGAACAGTTTCAAAACATGGTGCCAATTTCATTGATTGCACACATTGTAATTGTGTTAAAGGACAACAACTAGATTTACAAATATATATTACACACACACACAAAACAGACAAAGCTATAAAATGTTTGGTAACTCCACATGCTTTGAGCTAGCCAACATATCTGTCTGCTGAACTGCTAATTATTGATCATATTGAAAATCTAAATTGCTATTTCTGATGTATCTTACTGGATTCAACAACCACTTCCAAAGGAGGAAGAAAGAGGAGAAATGGTAGACCCAAATTTTGAGGGTTTAAATGAGCGTTCTTGGAATAGCCAGCATAACATTTCAGTAATGTGAAGAGTGATTCCCAAAATTGTTTTAGAGACTTAGGCCAAGTTCACCTCTGGCTTTAGTGGGTATATTCCCACTACTTCACTGGTACTTGTGTCCTCTTTCACTAGGGCTGAATTTGGTCCTAGGAGTATGTCATCTTCAGTGACATTAATGAAAACGGGAGTCTTGGACAGATAGAACTGGGTTGCAAAATTAAGAGAGTTAATATTGGACAAATCATGTAAATAAAGAATATATATTAATAATAGTTCCTATTATATAAATAGCCTTTATAAAAAAATAATCTTTCAATAATTTTAATAACTCACCTTTCTTTAGGTTCTGGAAAACATGTATGAAAAAAATCTATTCTGTTCAAGTTAGATTAAAGCAAACCTAAGATGAACACTACAGCTCTCTGTTGCACTAAACCCAATTCTGACCATTCAATTTCCAGGTTAGTCAGTTTTTGGGGATGATAGGGAATTTCTTGGTGAAAGTATGAATTGCACCCCTAGAAACACTGAGCAGAAGAAACACCATACTGAGTGGGCCTAATTCCTACTGCTTTCAGAAACTGTGCAGATGACAGACCCAGAAATCGAAGGGCCACCCAAACCCCACAAATGTTCATGCCTCTGAGCACATTTAAAAGGCACTGTCCTCTCACTACTCTTTTTAGATCTTTGAGCTTCAAACCCCTTCCCTTTAAATTATGCTGCATTTAAGTATTTGCTCTCACTTGAATTCTCTTTCCATTCTTCACAATCCAGCATAGTCTCTACCTGCTGTACCAGATCTAAGGTAAGACATGATGGACTCTTACGTTTGCACTAGCACTATTTTCTTTTTTCCTTCTTATTTATCCTATCAAATGAGAAAAGGAAACATTCTTCCAAGTTTACCTTTTTTAGCTTAAGGCATAACATGAATCATCGAATCATAGAATATGCTGGGTTGGAAGGGACCCACAAGGATCACCGAGTCCAACTTCTGATCCTGCACAGGACACCCCAGGAATCTCACCCTGTGCCTGACAGCCTTGTCCAAACACTTCTTTGAACTCTGTCAAGCTTGGGGCTGTGAACACTTCCCTGGGAGCCTGTTCAGTGTCCAAAACCACCTTCTGGGTGAAAAACCTTTACCCAACGTCCAACCTGAACCTCCCAACTCAACTCCATGCCATTTCCTCAAGTCCTGTCTCTGGTCACCAGAGAGAAGAGATCGGTACCTGCCCCTCCCCTTCCCCTCGTGAGGAAGCTGCAGAGCCCAATGAGGTCTGAGCTCAGTCTCTTCTCCAGGCTGAACAGACCAAGTGGCCTCAGCTGCTCCTCACATGGCTTCCCCTCCAGACCCTTCACCATGCTCATGGCCCTCCTTTGGACACTCTTTAATAGCTTAATTTTTTTTTTATATTGTGGCACCCAAAACTGCCCACAATTTTCAAGGTGAGGCTGCCCCAGAGCAAAGCAGAGTGGGCCAATCCCTCTCTTGCCTTGGTGATGCTGTGCCTGATGCCCCCAGGACACAGGTGGCCCTCCTGGCTGCAGGGCACTGCTGGCTCATGTTCAACTTGCCATCAACCAGGACCCCCAGGTCCCTTTCTGCAGCTGCTGTCCAGCCTCTCGTTCCCCAGTCCATACACACAACCAGGATTGCCCCATTCCAGGTGCAGAATGTGGCACTTGCCCTTGTTAAACTTCATACACTTGGTGATTGCCCATCTCTCTAATTTGTCAAGGTCCCTGCACACATTGTACTAAAGCTTAATTTTTGAAGTTTATAATTTTAGTGCTATCTGAAACCCTGTTTTACATTATTTTCCAACAGTTGTCTGAACAATTCATTTCTCTTCTTGCCATAAATTCTAATGTTGTTCATGGTTTGTGCAATTCCTATGCAACCAGTCTTCGCTGCTAATGGGTATTAACAGTGCAGTACCCACAAAGCGGGGTATCAGTTCTTGTTTTCTTTGCAGTCAGTTCAGTTCAAAGCGTGTTGCTTTATTGTGTGGAAGATCCAGTCCATTTTTGTTGTCCAGCCACCATGGTGAGCATCATTCATTTGCTTCATGAAGTACTCAAGAGCCTCCTGCTCAGTTTTGTCCAATGCAAGGGTCTTTCGAATGTAGGCAATATCATCAAAGGACTGCAGTTCTGGCATTCCTGAGCCAAGCATCATGGAGAAAAGATTGATGAAGAGATTGGCATGCTGCCGAATTGCAAGGTAAGCCTTATAACACATCTCCTGAAACCTGGAAGAGACCAGGGGAAAAAAGCTCAGTGCATTTCTCTACTGGGTGCATATTACTGTTTCATCTCCAAAACAGTTTTACAGGTAACCAGACACCAAAAACTTAAACCTTGTCTACCATTCATACAACTGTTCAACATGAATTTATGGGAGCTCACAGGGCCATTTTTGCCACTGCAATTGTCATTTCAGATTTCAGAAGATTTCCTGTTAGCTTTCCTGTCTACCTTCAGAGTTGCACTTCTCCTGTGGTTTTATGCGGGCCAGTAGCTGTTGCTCCTTAGGTGCTCTGAAGAATCCACTGAAAACAGGGGCATTTTCTGTATCACACTGGATAAGAAGTACCCAGGTTTAGGGAAAAAATGCAAAAAAGCTTCACTGCAGTGTTCAGACTGACACTGTAATTCAAAATCTGTCTTCCACTGCCATCAACATAATGAAATTAAGATTAAAATTGAAACCTCTCAAAGACTGTGTTGCTGGAAAGAGATATTAAGAATGACTACAGCAACAGATTTATTTCTTTACTGTTATTATTTTAAAGTTCTGGCCATTGTCACAAACTACACAGGCCAGCTGAGGAGCTGATATCAGAGCAGCTAGAGGAGAGAGAAGTATGGCTGAATGACCAGCAAGGCTCTGATGCACACAACACCCAATGTTAAAGAATTTTCAGTAGTTTCAGTTCTGCCATCTCAAGAGGATTTCAGGTGTAAAGTCAAAGAATTTCAGATGTTTGAAAAATTGCCATCTATGCTGACCCTGCAAATCTCAAGTGAGATTTCATGGACCAAAGGTCATGTAAATGCTAGGACTTACAAGTGGATGGCTCATCTACAACTGAAGAACTAGAACATACCCACTGCAAATCAATTAAAATACAACTGTTCAGATAAAAGGCCTAATTATTAAAGGTCACCAGTAGTAAAGTACGTTTTAGGTACAAAACAGGCTGGAGGTTAAATGGTTAAAAGCAAGCTCACCTTTCAAACTCCCTCGTTTTGGTACATTCTTGGGCTCCTTTACTAATCACTATTAAGAAGTCTTGTGTTAAGACAAATGGCACACGCTCTCTTTTGTAACCAAATTTTTTCTTCTTATGGTCGAGGAAGTGCCCAAAGTCAATGTGAAACAGCTTGGAAAGACAGAAAGGAATTTTAAGATTAATAATTCCTTGTTTAAACGAAGTCACAGTAAAATTTATCATTTACTTAGTTCTGATTTTCTTTTCCAAAACAAACTCATACTGAAGTGAGTATGATTTAGGGTATGTGGGTAAGTGGGTATGATTTTAGAAAAGCATCCCTTACTTGTCCATCATCTTTGACCATGATGTTACTGTTGTGGCGATCACCAATGCCCAGGATAAAGGTGGCAACACAGTAGCCAGCACAAGAACGTGTAAACAGGTCAATAGCTGCATCATACCTATGCGAACAAAAAAGGAGACACTTTCCTCAGATATTCTAATAACACACAAGTGCATGTTTATCTTTTGCAAAAGAACTACCAGGCAAACAAGGACAGGTAAGAAAGAAAACAAAACCAAAACTAGATGGACACAATTATGGAAATAATCTCCCATGAACTTTAGTTCCCGTGAAGTTTCCATCAAAAAGAAGGATATGGCCAAGAAAAAGAGGCGACAGGTAATCTCACATGTCTCCTTTGTTCTTATCCTTG